TCATTTCGCGCCCAGCAAGACAAGCCCCCCCCCCCACCTCCTCTCACAAGATTCACTAACCCCCCCAACCCAGAAAACATCAACACAACCCGCACCGCCCTGCTCACCCGCACCCTCACCCACCTGCACACCACCCTCGACACCCTCGCCTCCACCCCCACCCCCTCCCCATCCCAATCTGCACCATCATCATCCCCACCAACAGCCTCAACAACCAACGCGCAACTCCTCGGCGAACTCATCCAAGCCCTACACCCGCACCGCCTCGTCTGGCCGCGCCCCACCGCCCCCTTCCCCGGCGTGTCCTTCACCACCGTGGCCGCCGCCGTCGAGGGCGGGTTGGCGGGGCATCGGCGGCGGGAGCGGGAGCAGAAGCGGGAGAAGGAGCGCGCGGCGAGGCTGGCGGTGGAGGTGGAGCCGTGGTATATGAGGAAGGCGTCGGCGGCGGGTTCAGGTTCGGTGAAGGGAGGGGATGGGCTTTGGAGTGGGGGTGCGGAGGGCGCGCGGCCGGGGTGGGGCGTTGTGGGGGGGATTCAGCTGCCGATTACGCCGGCGGCATCGCCGGAGCCGGTTTATGCTGCGGGGGGGAGGGGGTTTGAGGGGGGGGTTGGGAAGGGGGGTGGGGATGGGGATGGTGGTGGTGAGGTGAGGGAGGTTGTGCTTGGGTTGGTGGGGCTGGCGAGGTTTGGGGATGAGGTGAATGGGCTGGTGTTGGAGGGCAAGCTGGGGTATTTGTTGTATTAGTTGGGTTGTGGGGGGCCGGGGTGAGTTTCGTGTAGAGCTACTTAAGATGTTTGGTAAGGTGGGTGGTAGCTAACATGAGGTTGAGATTGGAGAAAGATGGAGAGGGGGAGAATGTGGAATTGTAGTGTATTTAGTAACTGCCTTTTGGGAAGATAACTAACAGTAATGGACATCAAACGAAGAATGTGAACTACCTTACTTATGATGGTGGCCTTAAAACGGCTCTTTTCTGTTTCGGTCCCGAGGGGCTCTATTTTAAGAAGTTCCTGGGGAAGAAAATGCATTCCCGAGCGCATCATGCACAACCCAGTGCGCGAAGCCACATGGGCTGTCTGCATTGGTGAGCCCCCGAGTCCTTTGCTGGCACAGTCATAGGATCGGACTTATCATCCAACGACTCGGATTTAAGACCAAGGGACGTACCGAATTCCTCATACATTTGACCCCGAACGACGCCTGAAGCTTGTTCGGTTTAAGCCTGGAAAAGATCACGCGGCCCCAGAGAGAGGTCCCAGGAGGGTGCGGCTGAAGCGAAAGCGAAATTGCCCACGATGCAGCTATTGAAGGCTATCCCCTTTCGGTCCTGGTCAGTCTGGTTCGGACCGGTCTGGCCACCGCCCAAAACGGTTTGGCTAGACTTTTCGTCTTGAGGCTCTGCTTTGGGCAGCGAATCGAGAAAGGTGTAAGGCAGAACGCGGCTGGGCCGGGGGGCGCCAGAAGAAGACGGGTGGAAGAGTGAAAAAGGGGCGCTTGTGCCTCGAGTATCGTGAACTCTTGGCTCCCCCGATCTCGTCACACCACTACTAAATAATAGTATTCACATACTTCGTACATCCGACGCCATGCATACGAGACTCGCCCTTTCTGCGGCCCTGATGGGCCTCATGGCTCAAGTCACTGTTAGTCCCCGCTCGTAGCCCATTGGTTCAGTCGTCATGTTCCTAACGGCTCTCCCCCAACCCAGAGCGCCACCTCCTGCACCTCCAGCAACGCCACACCCCTCGAAAAGTACATCAGCGAATCCGGCGGCGGCGGTGGCGGCGGCGGCTTCGACGTCTTCCTCTCGTACGACCCTTTCGCCATAGTCAGCAACGCGGTCAAGAAGCGGGACACGCCCAACGCGCGGCTGGCCAACGTGGCCAACATCATCCCGCGCGACGCGGCCACGGTGGAGTGCTCGGCCTCGGAGATGTGCTTCTCGGTGCAGAACTCGCCCTTCTGCCTCAACCTCGTCAACGGCGACTTCCACGACGGCCAGGGCACCACGGGCAACGCCCTGACGGGTGACTACACGCTGGGCGATGGCCGCAAGGGGAATCTGTATAACGGGCCGTATCCCCAGCCGACGGCGGCGGGGAATACGAATGCGAAGGCGACGCCGGCTGCTGGCTCGGGGAGCGGTAACGGTAGCGGGAGTGAAGGTGGCGGTTCTGGTGCAGCCCAGACGGCGGCGTCCAATGCCGGGGCGGGTCCTGGCGTCACTTCCACGAGTGTGACTCCGGCTGCCACGGGGGCCGGGGAGAACGCGGCTGCTAACGGCAAGGTCGGCAGGGCGGTCGTTGTTGGTGCGGCGGGCCTTCTCGGTGCTCTTCTGCTCTAAGAGCACGGCGTGTCGCTTCGCGTATGTGCTTGATCTTTCTGGAACTCGGCATCTTGTGGTCCTCATAATACGTTCCCTTCACAGTTCAAAGATCGAAGAGGATAGATTGCATCCATTGTCCTCAGCCAGGGTGTAGGTGGAAGGTTCATTGCGACGTATAGCTCCCGTGTCTCGCTTAATCATTAACTCAAGTCTCCCGGGCTGTCAGTGCCCGGGTACTCCTCTGATTACCTGCTGCCTTGGCCGCCATTAGGTATTAAAGAGTGAGTACAAAATCATTAAATCATACCCATCATGCACCTTGCCCATCATGCACCTCGACCGTCATGCACCTTGAGCCCCCGTATGCTATGCTTAGTAACAAAAGAAACCCATGCCCATCCCCATCCCCCCGCCGTTATCCATTAGACAATTACTCCCCCTCCCACCAGTTCGAGTGCCCCATCCCCGGCCCCCTCGGCGTCGCATAATTCAGGGGCATGGGGCATGGGTCGCCCCCACCCGGGACCATCCCCCGGCGACTTGACCCCCCAAACTGCCCCGGTACCGGGTCTGCACCGGCACCCCCAAGACTCTCTCCGTATAAAACTTGAAGGAAGCGGGAGGCTGGTCACAGCCCGCCTCCCCAGCGGGCACCTCGGTCATCTCGGGCTCCCCCGCATTTCGCAGCCCCAGCCCCGTCGTCGTCCCGCCGAGAGCCGGGTCGAGATAGCTCATGGCATGGTGCGTGTAGGCCTTTGGTGGTGGTTGTGCCATTTCCGGTGCAATCGTCGCCATCGGCGGGGCCGTGGTAAGGTTGGGATAGGGATCGGGCGCGTCATAGGCGTGTGCTGGGATGGTGGCCGGGTTGGCGTAGGAATGGGGGAGGCCGTATGGTTGTGGCGGGGCCGTGACCGGGTTGGGATAGGGGTTGGTGACGTAGGCCTGCGGAGGCATCATAATCGGGCTGGGGTAGGAGCTCGAAATGTCGTACGTCTCTGTTGTTTCTCCGGCGGAAGAGCTGGTTGCGTCGGAGGAGCCGGATGAGCCGGAGGAGGTGGATGATGTGTGCTCGGTGTCCCTTTCCGACACGCTTCGGGAGATGGGTGAGGGTCGTACTGTCCTGAATTTCTTTCCTCATCCTGGACCCCGGGCCCCTTTTGTACATCTGTATTTCCTTCAGCGGCCCTGTTTGTGCCCGGCAACAAGTGTACCAGATGAGCACTAGGGCAAGGGCGACCCCGAGACAAACTCCAAGGGCAATGAGCCCTGCCGGCTGAGCCTCATCGGGGGACGATCTGGGTTTGAGGTTCCATGAAGCAAGTGTGGAGGCATGGTGTGAAAGAGGGGATGTGAATGATTGGAAAGGAGGCATCGTGGGTGAGGTTTTGTTTTATATTCTGATGAGGGAGAGTCCAGTTCGCGGTTCTTGGCCACAGCTGATTACCGGAATAGACATTACCCTGCTAATTAGATTAGTAGCAAATTGGCCGAAACAAAGTGCCATGCTTGGGTTTTTCAAGCCAACATGTGCCTCTATCATGAAATTGTTAGCCGGATATCGCCTGAGTTGTCAGGTGTTATCCGACTTCCCCCAGCCGGCGTCTCGAACACGGAAAAGTCGGTGAGACATGTCCGGACACAGGGGTGTTCGGGGATGTTGTTGTCGCCCTGCCCCCGCGCAGTTTGCGCGGCGTCCAGTCGCTTAACAGGGGCCCCTTCTATCCAAGCAGCTCCGATGTCCAATGCCGCAAAAGTGCAGCTCGGTGGATGCACAACCGCGTTAGTCGGGACCTAGCCTCCACTGGCCGCCGCGCCGGGTGGCTGCCCCGGGGCCCACCACCTCGTACCCGCACGGTGCTGCATCGGATCGGATCGTGTCGAATCGAGTGTAGATGGTTTGCATTACCAGAATGCGTATGTATGCAGCGCGGCCGTTGAGCCCACGAGCGGTCTAGACCGGTGTGAACCTGTTCCTCGGATGCCAGCGCATATCGCGTCAGGGGTTGTCCCTTAGGTTGTCCTTGGCGGCGAGGCACTGAAGCTCGAGATCAACCTCCGAAAACTAATGGCTGCTTCGCAACGGGTACACGGTAAGCGAGCTGCGATTGTGACTCGCACCCAAAACATTGGCAAGATAGGATAACAGGCAAGGCTGTGGCGATCGCTGTGTGCGACATGGAGGCTCAGCGCCAGCGGACAAGTGGCTGGGTATCGTTGGGCCGCCATGTACCTGATTCGGTTTTGGCTGCAGAAAGACAGCGGAGGGTTCCGACAGAGGCACGTCAGTGAATCAATGAGAAGCCGCCAAATCAGGGGTGGCGGCTGCACTGTGGTGTAGTGTAACGAGAATGGAATCGACCAGACCGAGCCGGTGAACGCGTGGCATGTCAACGGTCAGAGGAAGACGCCGGAAGTAAACCGGGTGGTGGAGGGTTTGAAGATGTACCTGGAGGTGAGAGTTGAGATAATTGATTGTCATCGACTCGGGGTGTCCTCGGCGCGATCAATGTCGATAGCCAACAAGTAGGTGCCCGCCCACAACTCGTAAACTCGACTACCTAGGTATTCTGCTGCACTTTGCCGACGCCTTGTGGCTTTCCGATGCCAAAACGCATCGTCAGTGAAGGCCACAACGCTTATCTTAGCCGCACTGGGTCATCTGCATTCGGCATGATAGGTGGTGTCGCCAGAACCACTCGCCACGGCGCGCGATACATGCTCAACGGCGCGCAGCGCGCTTCTGCTTGATCTTTTTTTGTGGTAGACAGCCAGCTGCTCGAGCACCCAAGGCTGTCACGGAATGACCCCGAGGCGGCCAGGGCGGCCACAGCCGACAGCGCAGGACGCCGGCAGCCAATCGCTTAAGGACCAATAAGAACTGGATTATCACTAGTTGTCAGTGATAACGGGCGATTATCACCAACAGAGTGGTGATACTAGATAGTATATAGTCACTCGTACTGGAGAGCTCTGGGAGTTCTCCAGTTAGCAATCACAACTACAGTTCGTTACAAGCTCGAAAGCCTACTGTTGAGACAAGTCTTTGTTGTGCACCCTTTGGCTGCACCGAACCTAAGCACCCTTGAGAGATTACCTTCAACCAGCGCTCGCAGTAAGCCAAACACAAGTAAGCCAAGGCAAGTCTGACCGGTCGCAAGCAAGCCAAATCGAGGCTGTTCCAAGCCAAACTGGTGCCGCATTTGGCTTGGCTTACTTGGCTAACTTGCCAAGATCTTGACCCCCCTGGCCACCCATCTAGCCACCCCATTTCTCAGGCACTGGCAATCACTGAATCGCTCAAGGTATCACCACCTCCAGCAGAGGAACGGAACATCTCCAAGGCAGACCGTTGCCTCTTCAACGCAGGTAAAACAGAAGGCTCCTTCCCCGCCTCGTATTTGCGATGCTCAGTATTGAGATGGCCGATGGGGGACGTTGTTGCCTTCCCAGCGAAGAGGGCATGATCCTCCACCCAGGGCATAGGATGCGGTGGATCGAGAGGAATCTCAACGAAGAGCGCGCCTCCCATATTATCACCAGCTTTAAGCAGTTCCTCCAGGAGGAATGCAACGACCTTGAAGGTCCTGCTCCCACAGCTCCCAACGCCACCCAGACCGAACCTCCACGCCACTTTGAAGATGACTTCCTCGGCAGTTTCGAAGATGATGTATCTGAAGAGACCTTTGGCTGGCAGGAAGAGGTGGATAAGTATCTTACGGAGCCTATTAAGCGGGTGGCAGATATTTACGCATGGTGGAGGGACAATGCAGAGCGGTTTCCACGCCTAAGCACCATAGCATTTGACCTCCTTTCCATTCCGGCGATGTCTTCGGAGTGCGAAAGGGTGTTCAGTCGAGCCAAACTGACCATCAACACGCAGAGACATAGTCTACAGGATGATGCAATCAACATGCTCGAATGTCTGAAGAATTGGGGGGGGAAAGGCATGGTTTGAAGCACCTGGATTTCATGGCGACCCCGGGGATGTCTGGAGGGGTTTTGGGGTATGGGAATGCCTGCAACCAAGGCAAGACGATAGCGACATAACAGCTGGGCTAGGCTGAGTGAGGTTCTGGGACTTGGGAATAGCTTCATATATCACGTAATTCGGGGGGCCTGCGGGCCGGATCAATTCATGCCAGGCCCCACCCAAATCTTGGCAAGTTAAACAAGGCAAGCCAAATGCATCGCCATTCAAGCCAAGTGCGGTGGCTGGGAGGCAAGCCGAGCCAAGTATGGGTCATATTTGACTTGCTTTGGCTTACTGAGAGCGCTGCCTTCAACCGAAGCTGAACCCTAACAGGACAGGGTCCTGAAGTAGGTTCGTCACAAAGGCCCAAGGGCAATAATATGTCGATTTCCGAGCACCTGGCGACAATTGAATCAAATGGTTGACCCAGTATACAGTGGTGAAAACTCGCCTGTTTTCTCTAGCCACTCATGACTTTTTTGAATCTCGTGGTCGTAAAATTGGGAGATGCCAGGCGTTGTGGGCATGTTCGACCGACGGTTTGTCGACTTGTGATTGATTTTGTGTAAGACGAAAAAGAAGAAAGAAAATGCCCATTGCAACAGGGCAGTATTAGCGGACCTGAGAATTCGAACTGATATGGCTTGCTTCAGGTTTGGCCAGCGTCCAATTCAATGATGCTTCGGTGTGACGGAAATTTTGACGCTGTGACATCGGACGCCCAAGTCGTCACCGATCAAGAGCCTCAGCCCCTTCGTGCGAGGCTGTTTTTCTGATTTCAGTGGCTGAGCAATTCAAGGCCAAAGGCCAAATCGGGAGCGGCTCGGGGCTGTCGCAACGCTGTTCCGCAATTCCGCCTCGCCTTTCCCCCTCCTCCATGGATGCGATGCCGCCGAGGTGCCCGCTCGGTTGTTTGTTGCATTGGGCAGTTTTTGGTCAAGGTGCACGCGCGTGCGAAAAAGCGCTGCTGCCACTGGACAAATTTCCCCAGGTTCGCTCAGAAGCCCCAAAACTACGACCGAATGGGGGCTTAGCGCGCCATGGTTGCGGAAGGAACCGCTAAGACGGGCCCGAGCTGAGGGTGCAGTTACCCTAGGATTACTCCGAGAGCTGCTGGGAATCCATCCGTTCCATTCGTGTGGCCATGGCAGAGAACCCGAGGTGTCCAGCAACCCCTCGATTGTGGAAGGGATAGATGGAATTGGAGAAGTTATTTTTCTGAGGGTTGCGGCTGAAAAGCGAATCGGGTACTAAAGCATCGAACTTGCCCAGCATCCATTCCATTGTCCTTTGCCAGTCCCAGTCGGTCCCCACAAAACAAGCATTCACGATCACATTTCATTCATTCAATTGCATCCAATCCATCGCCGCCCGATTGTGGGCCAAGCTGCTGCCCAGCATGCAAAACACCAACAGTCCGGACAATGCAGCCCCACCAGCATACACTGCCGAAAACACAAACAATGGGGACGACGAAACTGCTAATTTAACGGCGGCATTTGACAATCTCCGCTTGTCCATTGACCCCGGCAACCCCGAGGTCGACACATGCCTCGCCCATCTCAAGTTGCTATTTGCCTTTCAATGGATGAAGGAGGATGTTGGGTTCACCGATGGGCTCTGGGGTCTGGATGACGATCTTGCAGGCCCCATCGACCCCATCTTGAAGAAGCGGCCCGAGAAGAGAGCCGAGAAGGGGGCCGGAAACGATACTGAGACGGCCCAGCGGGCGCCAAGCGTACAGGAAAAGATGCGGAACAAGAACCTCGAAACCCTCAGCGAGATTCGCGAAAAACGCTGGGCTTTGTTTGTCGCCAGAGCCGTGGACCGGTACGAGGCCTGGTGGCAAGCCATGACCAAAACAACGGGTGCACACCCGCTGACCGAGGACGCCATGACCGTCTCCGGCTCCCCTTCGTACTCCGGCTTCACTTGGAACCTCGGCGGATCCATGCACTGGGATGAGGGCATGCTGCCACCGCTTGGTGAGTTGCCCCATCCTGGGCCATTGCTGTAGCGCGCATCCATCGCTAACAAATAACACAGACGTCCTCATGGTTTGGCATACCCACATGCTGAACCCCCGCGCGTTCCTCGAGGACTGCATGCTGGCCGGCATGGCCCCCTTCTGGGCCACCGGGATGCCGTGGCACGTCGTTGACAAGGCCATCGACACCCAGTTCAATTATAACGTCTCGGACGAGTGCAAGCGCCGCTGGAGTAAGGATACCGGTCGTGCTTGGGACAACGCCGAGGACCCCATGTTCAAGACGATCGACTGTCCCCGGTGTGGCACGCAAGCAAAAGTCCCCTGGACCACGTGCGTGGAAAAATACCGAGCCGGTCTGGAAGACCGTTCCGGCGACGGCTACGGTGACGCCAAGTTTCGATACTGGTGTCGCGTCTGCGACACCTACATTCGCAAAGAGCTCCTCGCCGTCGCCAAGTTCATCCGAGACTACAAAGCACTCACTGGACCCAACCGCCGTCCCATGCCGGGAACACTGCTCGATCCCAAGTCGGGTATTCCCACCCTGACAACGGAGCTAGCTCCGGGCGCTAAACCGAAATCAACCCTGCCAGCCCTAACGTTCCCCAACCGGCTGCTCAAGACTTGGTGTCCGAAGGGGCGTTTTGATATCAAGTGTCTCACCGACTTTGCCAAGTTTGGCAACCTGGGCCCCACGATGCACGATGCTCGCAAGGCCATCGAGGAAGTGCTGAGGACAGAAGATAACATCAAGCGGATCGACGACGTTACCTCGTCGGGCATCTACAAGCTGCCTAGCGTATCGCGGATTGCCATCCGAAAGATGATGTCACGGTACTGGGAGAACTTTAGCATCTTCGCCCTCGACCTAGGCGGCGCCGTCATGCGCCAGGGCCTCTTTGGCGAGAAGATGTGCAAGCTGGACTGGCTGCACAGCCCCTCGGTCCACAGCACCATGACCCGCCTGCTGACCAAATACGAACGCTTCCTAACCATCATGAGCAGGAACCCGCAGTGCCTCACGGTGCCTACGCTGGACGTTGATCTCGCCTGGCACACCCACCAGCTTAGCCCGGTCATCTACTACCGGTACACGGTGAATCTAGCGGAGCGCTTCATCGACCACGACGACAAGATCGCCGAGCACACGCTGAGCAAGCAGTTTGAGTGGACTAGCAAGATGTATCAAACCATGTACGGCGAGGTGTACAGCGAGTGCACCTGCTGGTACTGCGAGTGTAAGTGTGAGGGAGGCGTCGAGATCAGGCCGTGAAACTGACCATTCCAGCCATCCGGGCCTCCCACTGCAGCAGCATCGGAACGGCACTTGGCATGTCCAGGCACGACAAGAGTATGTCCCTGTAGGGGCCCCATTGTCCGACCCAAGCTAACACCGAGTGCAGTCGCCGAGTCTTTCCACGCAACGGGTGCCGCCTCTCTACGTAGGTCACTGCATGCATCTATCCCAAACACCACGAATGCAAAATAATCACCCACTTATACACCCATCCCCCCCTCGCCCGCCCACCGCCCTTCCTCTCCCCTCTCTCACCCACCCACACACACACAAACAACAACCACGCACGCATCCTAACCTCCCCCCTTCCACAGACCCACCCTCCACCTCGGCGCACATCTCGGCCCACCCAGCCGTCCTCCCCCACCCCGAAAACCCGCGCAGCTCCGTCGCCTACCTGACCACCCGCCTCGCCGACTCCCACAACCGCCGCCTCGGCATCGCCTACGCCCGCGCCTGCGCCCGCGCCGCCAAAAAAGGCCGGCCCATCCCCCAGCGCTTCGGCAGCAACAGCAACGGCAACGGCGACGGTAAGAATGCTAGCAAGGAGAAGGATGACAAGAAAAAGGGAGCGGCCGCGGAGGGCGAGGTGTACTACGACCATTGGGGGTATCCGTACATGTATGCTGGGCCGTATGCCTACCCGCTGTGGTGGACGCCGGGCATGTATTATGGCTGGTATCCCGGCTATGTGGTGGCCTGCGCGGCGGGGTCGTACGCGAATTGCGCGACGGGGACGTGTGGGGGCGGTGTCGCGGGGGGGGCGTGTGGGGGGGCTGGGGGTGAGTTACTTCTCTTTTACTTTTTTCTTATTGTCTGCTTTCTTTTTTCTGTTTTTCTTTTGTGGAGGCCAAGGGGGGCTTCTTTCTCGATGAGTAGGTATGCTGACTTTGCGTGTCATAGGGATGCGGCGGTGCTGGTGCGGGAGGGACCGGGGTTAGTGGAGGGTGTGGAGGCGGTGGTGATGGTGAGTTCAGCCCCGTTTGCTTTTCTAGCGCCGTACGGGGTTTCTGCGACGGATTCTGACCCGTATACAGGTGGAGGCGGTTGCGGAGGCGGTGGTTGTGGTGGTGGTGGTGGCTGTGGCGGTTAGTGCCCCGTCTTTGGATACACCAAATGCAAAGTTTTGGACGTTCATGTGGCAGGTGTGTTGTACATACATACATGCAAAGGAGAAACCCCTCGAGTTGGAGTTGGTAATCTGTTATGTCCATTACCAGCGGCAACCGTACTCCAAGTTCCTTTTGTCCTTTCTTTGCTTCTTCTCTGGCAAAATTACTTCAGGTTACTCTTTTCCTGCCACGCCCTTGCGGATTGGAGAGCAAGTTGCCCCCAGATACCGACGCTCACCTACCTACCGTACCCTCTAACAATCTAGGCATCTACTATGTACGGCTTGACGTCGTGTCTGGGTCTTCATTCCAGCAAGGGTGACGCCCAGTGTTCACCACAAATACCTTCATACCTAGAGATTTTGTGTCGTTCCCCCGCGAGGATATCTCGCTTCGCCCATTACCCTAGCCACCTCGTGGATCACAAAGCTCACCTGCTGGCTTACGAAATAACACATCAGACCGTCAAGCAAATCCCGGCAGCAAATGGCGCACGCCTTCTGCGCGAGCGCGTCGGGAGGGCGGCGGGAAGCCACCCGCTGCGGAAACCCGACCGAGTCCCCAAGGTGGCGCCAATACCAATCTGCCGGGACCGTCGACAACCTTGCCTGTGATACTGCAGCCGGCTCGCGTCAACACACAGTGTGAAGCGCCCTGTACCACTTTGCTGGGCCGATCCCGGGACTGTGGTACCAGATGGCGCTCCCGTGCCGCACGCGAATGGACGCCTCGATTGGTTCAGGGTGACTGCCAAGCTGCGGCGCGGCGCTTGGCTGGGGAGGCTTCTTGGTTCCGGCTCGTTCGGGGGCTTCCCGATGTCCCCGATGTACCCGTGGCTGGGAACGGGCTGGGAACTGCACAGTGACTGGACAGTGTTCATCTCAGGATCCATGACGAGTCTCCGACTCGTTTCGTTTCTGCAAGGTTGCATGTTGCCTTTTTCTCGGCTCGCTAGACGACCTGGCGCGCGGACCGTCACGGCAGCAGCTTGATGTCGGGAACTGCTGGTTGCCTTCAGGGGGCTGACCCGACAGTCTGGTTTTTACACGCCCCTCACATGCATCTTCCCGTCCCCCGTCCCCCGTCTCACGTCCACATCCACGTCCTGCTGTCCTACGTCCCACCATTCCGGCACCATGCGTGCGGGACGTTGCTGAGTCGGCCTTCAGTTTCGACGGCTGCCTGACCTGAAATGCAGAGGGGCCGCATCCTCTTGTGCTGATTCTGGGGTACCAGCTTCCCCTCTATTCTTTCGCTCCTTTAGGCCTTTTTTCCTCTCATATGCTCTTTCCTAGGCCGCTTTCCTTTGCATTCTGTCAACAGCTTCTCTCAACATGGCCGCCTTTGATCCCATTGAGTTCTTCGGAATTGGGTACAGCCGAGGCATTACTACCATTCAACACACGAGGGACCAAAAGCCAATCTTCTATCAGCTTGTCGTCGGTAGCCCCCGACGCCGTACGCTGCTCTACTAAAGAGGCAAGTCGAAGGGTATATCCACGATTCAGGGCTAATAACATTAACTTGTATCAGCGAACCGGAACGGCCATGGCTTGTCCACTTCCACTCCAGTGGCTCACGAGAACCACAATCGCTTCACCCATTCTTCGCCGACATCACCCCGGAAAGCTCGGTTTACATACCGACTGCGAGCCTTGACGTCGCCGTATTCGAATCCCCGAACGTCTCTGTCAACTCCAGCTGGGAGTCCAACCTGGACCAGCCCTTCTCCATTCGTCGATATTTGGGCAACCACGAGCGCCATGAAATGATACTGCTGTCGCTCTCGGTCGCTTCCCAACGCCCTGTGTCGTCCTTTCCCGATGCTTTGAACACTTCGCCGTCCGACGAGCCTAGAGGAGTAGGAAAACAGTCCGACGCTCTTGGGTTTGAAAAGGGGACCGAGCCTACTCCCAATGATGGCCCATTGTACCGTTACATAACAGATGTCCAGCCCCACGAGCTGCTCTCCCTGGCTCTCGAACAGAAGGGCCACCCACCAACTCAAGCTCAAAGTCCACAGCAAGACACCCAGAAGACGGAGTCTTCTATCTCGCTGTCTGCGACCTTGAATGTAGGAGAACGGCTCGAACCAGATGACGACGTCGCCCTGGCTGCCGAGGTAGCGCGCAGGTGGTAAATATCCTGGCCCTCTTCGCCTACCCTATCCCCTTACTAACAATACCTTTTCCCCCAGCCGCGAGCGACGACGACAGCGTGCCGTCGGCCAACCCCGGTTGTACAAGATGCCCCGCAAGAGGCGTAGCGAGTCACCGCCGCAAGGGCACAGGGACAAAATAGCAAGACAACGGTGAGCGCGGATACAAAGTTGGATCTAGTATGAAAAGATTAATCGTCACCGAATACGCTGACAAGCATTCGTTGCTGCGCTCATTAAATATTCTATAATCAAATGTGTTATAATATAATCACTTGACAACCCAGTCTCCCTCGAAAATCCAATACCAGGAGTACAGATGTTTCGCATCAAAGGACAGGGAGCGAAAACGGCGGGTGCCGCGCATTAGTAGATTGTATTAAGGAGTGTGTGTACATATCTGCTGTCCCAGTGCCCGCGGCTCAGTCCCTCCCCGAAATACGCCCTGCCCTGCCTCTAATCTTAAGGTAGACCCCAAACCACAAGGCTAATATCGCCTACATACCAAAACCATGTCCACCAAAGTACTCTGCCTAACACCAATCCCTGCCACCCTGATACAATATCATACAAGCGTGGTCGTCGAGTCTCTAGTCCATTAGTAATCGTCCTCCTCCATGTCGGCCCACTTGGTACTGGAGATATAAAAAGGATCGCGGTCCCAAAAGGAGACCTTGTTGGCCCCGGCGACGTCTTCCACTCCGGTGTGAATCGCCGTGTTGACCGCCGCAGCCCTTCCGACGGGAGCCAGCTCGTCCTCCTCCTCCATCATATCCGCCCACTTCGTCTTGGAGATGTAGAACGGATCGCGGTCCCAGAAGGAGACCTCGGGCTTCGTGGCGCCCCCCGCATTGGTCTGGGACGCCGTGTTGGCCGCTGTAGCTTCCTCCGTGGGAGCCGGCTCATCGTCCAACTCGTCAATGTCCGCCCAGCTCAGCTTGGAGGTGGAAAGCGGATCGCGGTCCCACCAAGACACCTTGCCGACCTGTGCGACCGCCTCGGCCCTCTTCATCGCGGCGTTCGCCGCAGCAGCCCGCGCCGCCTCAGTCCTCTCCTGTTCCACAACATTGTCCTGGGAGACGACGCTGTTTTTTTCCATCCAGGTCGAGAATCTGTCCATGGCTTCTGTCTCGGCCTCAATTTCGGTCTCGTCGTCCTCCTCAACCGCGCAGTCCTGGCCGCCCGCAGCCTCCCTGATGACCAGCTCCTCATTTTCGTGGATGGGCTGTAGGATCGGCCCAGAGTAGCTCACGACCTGCCAGCCCAAGTGCTGGGTCTCCATGGCAATCCGAATAGCCTCCGCAGCACTAGCCGCCTCAGCAGCCATAGTCTTCTCCCAGTACTCGAGGTACTCGGCGGCGGCCGCCGGGGTAACCACAGTCCCCCCATCCGGGTACTGCCACCACCCGAAATAATCAAAGAAGACATTGCACCACTGACCCACGCAGCGATGGCCGTACTCCAACCCCCGAAAATCAACCAAGCCCGACCCCTTCTCATAGACTATGTCATCCTCCCCCAGCCTACCGCACCTCACCCTCCGGCGTGGTGACGACAATGACAATCCCCGCCCGGTTCGTCTTGTCGTTTCCTTCCTCCCCTTCCCTTACTTTTCCCTCCCGATTCTTCAAACTCACCACCGTCTCCATTTCCCCCTTGCCTCTTTTAACTTCCAACCGCGCCCGGTGGCTTATACTCTTTTGCACCGGGCTCTACTTTTTG